GACCCAAAATCTACAACTCTTGTTGCATAGTTCCTGCTTTACCTTGGTCTTAATCATCCAGCAGAAAAATATAAAAACGAAATGTAAGAAGTAAAGCCATGCTGTTATGTTGAACTATAGGACACTCAGGTCAACAATTTCTGACATTGCCAGTGAAGCAGAAGACACAGTACTGTTATGGACTACTCAACTCTTTTAGAGTATTTTGCTGAGATTACACACCTTTAATATTTAAATGATGGAACTTAACAAAAAAAAAGGGGGATACAGATGAATGTCCATTTTGCTTCTCTGTATTCAAATTGGTTAGGATAGTTATATAGTTACATTCTCTTAATGAATAGAAGGATTTGTTCTAATGGTGTTTGTAAATAGGATATCAAGTCCGCATCTTGTACAGCAAGTAACCACTAGATGGAATGTATGCAATGTGTTAATTATTGAAACTGTCCTACCAATTTGGTTTGAAACTGTCTCATTGCTATTTTTTTCTCAACAAAGTTATGGAAAAATTTTAAAAAAGAAAATTTAAAAAAGACAACAGTATGCAATGTATTAATTTTTGAAACTGTCCTACTAATCAGTTTGAAACTGCCTCATTGCTGTTTGTTTCTCAATAAAATTAATAAAAATAAAAAAGAGTAGGAAATGTTTATTGTACCATACCTCCTGAGAGGTGAGAATGATGCTAAGTAGGTTTCTATTGTAGCACTTATATGTATGGCTGTATATGTACAGCAGTCAGAATATGTACACACCAAGGCTCAATCCACAGTCAATCTGTAGATTTGCAAGTATACTGGCTTAGCTAATATTTCACTAATGGAGAAATAAGTCACATGGTAGAAAGGCACTACTGGGGAAGGTCTGGGTCCATGTGCTCTGGTCACCAGTGTAGGCAAATGTTCTTAGGACTCATTGTAAACTCTCATTATATTACAGCTTAACCCTTAGCAAGACAGGTAGGTTTGTTTCTTCATCTCTGTCTTAAAGCCTGGACTTCTTCAGGTAGATCTCCAGCCACAATTCTGGTATCTTTATTTTTTTACTGACTTCCTAGAAATCCCAGTGCCTTTATTTCTAACTAATTTCTAACTAATTTAGCTGTCTATAATAGTGCAACTATATGATTTATTTATACATAGTGGTATGACCTATCTAAATGTCACAAAGACAGAAAAGATGTCATTTAGCTTTCTATAACTATGAAATGTCTAAAAAATAAGGAGTAAAATCACCATGAAAATGAAATTAAATATTAATGTATTTCTTTATGATTTCTATATTTTATATGTTGTAAAGTAAGACACTTTGAAACAAATGTACCTTAGTTATTAAACAAATAACTCTTGTTCCCTGATTTTCTTTTCTTTTAGTAGAATTTTGGTTGAACTTATAAACGTCTACATTAGGGCATTGCTTTTACACTTAGCCTTTGAATATTATAGTGAAGAACATTCTGATGAAATTGATAACATATGCACTAGTATTTGCTATACTTTTATGAAGTCTTAATTTGCATTGCTTATTGTAAGTGTTATAGATATTTTTACTCTTCTTTGAACCAAATAATTGTAATGAGATCAGTAGTACTTACTTTTAATAAATTCTGTAACATTCAGGGGCATATTATTTAAGTCTCGTTTTAGCTATTTTAATCTTTGATTTTGAATTTATTGTTTTCCTCTATCAGTAATCTTTAAAGCCTTATGTTTCAGTTTAAAAGGAGTTGACTTTAAGAAAGTGTCATTACTTTATGAATCGGCTGCTTTAGATTCACTTTCCTTTGCCAAAGACATAACATAATTTTTCATGTTGATTAATTGGTATCCTTCTATTTAAATTTGCTAATGAACAGAAAAGGCTTAGATAAAAATGGCATGACAAAAATGTATGACATTCACTTATTTCAAATGAAAGAAAATGAATGCAACATAAAGTGTCTTAACTGAATAGTGACAAGATATTAAAAGGAGAGCATGTAGAAATTGATCATTTAGAATGAGTTATGGTTTATTTGTCCACTGGTCTAAACTCACATATATACCCCAGTACTAAAAGACTCATGTAACTGAAAAGAGGTTACAAGGGCTAAATTAGCTTGTCAATTAATACATAATATTCATAGTAGAAGAATACATTCATTAGCTGTTGACAGTGGATATGTGATCTTAATGATAGTACAGAATTAGCCTTTTCTCTTTTATCTTGGTGATAAATTTAGATGGAAAGAGAAAGTGGCAGTTCTGTATTCACTACTACTTAGATCTTAGTGTAGGCATTTCACTTGCCTGAAATTGAAGTATTTGTGTTTATAGAAAGTGAAGTGCTTTTCTTAGGCAGATGCAGGAACTGGAGTTCTATCAGTGTGCCATGCTGGCCCTGACCCCAGGGCATGCCGAGAAGGCTTTTCAGACTTGGTGTGGTGGCATGTGCCTGTAATCCCAGCGCTTGGAAGGCTGAAAACAGGAAGATCACTACTATTCTGATCTGTGTAGTGAGACCCTATAGACCCTGTACTAAAATCATTTAAAAAATGCTTTAGCAAAATGAACAAGCATAATTCCATCAAATAAAATTTCCACACAAGATTTTTAAGCTCAAGAAATTAGAAAGATATAAATGAAGGTAAGTAGAGAAGTCAGAAGTGCAGTGAGGTTCTTTCAAATGAAACAGCCGCAATTATTTCTAGTCGCTTCTATTTCACATTTTTTTTTCTTCACGATTTCAAAGAGTAGTTCTGTTCTATTTTGTTTTCTTATTTTGTGGGCTTAGGAAATTTTCAGATTTTTAGTTAGTTGACCCTGTGGTTTCCGGAGGTGTAATTCTCTACCCTAGGGGTCACCTAGAAGAGTCATCTGTTGCTTGAGACTCTCCTTGCTCCAATCCTAAAGTCTGAGAAGGGCCAGAAAGGAACGCTGAGTTCACTTTTTAGCTTCACAATGGTTCTAATTTCCTTTTCTTCTGTTCAGAGAGAAGAAAGTGAGATTTAGAACTGTATAGGTAATACATTTAATTTATGCACGTATCTGGAAGATGTGTTTGATTTTGGATTTGTTTTCATTACAGTGAAACTTTTGAAAAGAAATAGAAACATTTCAGTAATGTATTCATAATCATCATGTACATTAAGGTATTTATTCTCTTTCTTGAACAGCATACAATAGATATTATGAGAGGAAAGAAACTTCTTACATGCCTGTATCTGGTAATCTGAGTGACTACATGGAAGATAACAATATGCAACATAATAACCATTGTTAATTTTCTATCATCTTGTTTTAAAATTCTGTATCTTTTTTAAATCTCTTTAAAATCAAAAAGCAATCAAAATCTTTAGAAAAGATGTTTATTCTCAAATTTCAATTTTTGTCATTGAAACAGTACTATATGGAAACTCAATACTTTAACAGAGTACTTACAGATATGATGCTATAGTAGATATGATACTGTAAGCTCTTAGACCAGGGAACTTAAAATTGTGCCTTATAGTAGGGGAGAAAGGTTCTAATCTTGGAGGGAAGAAATAAAGGATAAAATTGAAGTATTCAAATTTTGGTTTAATAGTTCCAAGTCTGTGTAGAGTAGTTCAAGCATTAGAATTCTTTCTGTATGTGATAGGGTTCAGTGACAGAAGCTATATGTTAATTTGAACAAAAAGTGTCTAACATGTGACAGAGATTGGAGTAACTGTAATTATCATTTAAAGTGTAGAAAGAAAGAATTGAGAAGAAGGGTACATTGAGAGGCCGGAGGTGGAGTAGCGAAGCAAAGGCATTATGGAAGGTCAGCCTCCCCACACTGGGCTGCAGAGCTCATGAGAGAAGGTGGAACTGCTCAGTGAAGTTGGAGAGGTTTACTGAGTTGGACACTCTGTGGTTAGTGCTTAAAATTATGTTGTGTAACAGGGACGATTGATCTAACCTCACAGGGAAGACAATGAAGGATGGATTTGGAGCTGGAACTCAATAGATCGATCTCGATCTCACTGTCAGTGTCAGAAGGCAGAAATTTACATTCATAATCATTATGCCAACACTACCTTATATTTTCTTCACCAGGAAATGTGGTATTCCCAATAGAAAGGCAAATAGGAGGAGGAGAATGGAGGAAAATGTAAAAAAGTTAAATAAAGTTAATGTAATAATGTAAGTGGAGGTTTATACTAGTCTTCCTTTACCGTGGGACATTTCTTAGGTAGAGTCACTTCTGTTGCTTTGTAGTCTGCTTCACTGAACCTTAGGAGACGTCTTTAGCAAATAAAAGTGGAAATTACCAACTGGAGGAACAAGGGCCGTAACCAAAGTTTTCTTGTCTACTGGATAATGTATGTCATGTGTGGTTGATACGTGTTTGCTTGCAACTAAAAGCTTCCTTGGATAACTCAAATGATTCTGCTTCTTTTACAAACTAAGACTTGGGCAAATCGTTTAAATTATCTGAATCTCAGTTTTCTCTATATAAAAATGAAAAAATAGTAGGACCAATTTTCTAGATGTGTTCTCATAATTAAATGTGTTAATATTTTTAAGAACTTAGAGCTATATTGATATCTAATAAGTGTTACTTAAATGTTGGTCAAATTTAAAAAATCATTCAAAGCATATGTATTTTCTTAAAGACAGCCTAGGTATATTAATTCTTATAATAGATTCAGTTTATGAAACTTTACATTTACTCATAATGTTTTTCTCAAATTGATCAGAGTCTGTTCATTAATGACAAAAATTAAAATATGAATGTTGTTCAGTTTTACTTTAATTTATTTGAGGTAGATGTAACAAACACTGATTTACGCTAATATAGGTACATGTATCAAGAAAACCTGCACTCTTTAATTTTGTTAAGATTTTTTGCAGAATAACCGTTGAAAACATTCTGTTTTCAATGTACTTGTTCATATCAAATCAAGTAATTTGAAATTTGTGTTTCTGAAAAGTATAAAGCATTCTGTTAAACATCTAAAATTTTAGCTATTTCCTCTTTTTTTAAACAGAGAGACAAAAATATTGTGAGCCAATCAAAAAGTCGCAGGCAGTTGAAATGATATTTACATTCTACCCTCCTCGCGGTGCTCATGTGGTCAATAATATCCACATCAAGTCAAGCTGGCTGCGGCCCATCGTCAATGGTGAAGAAGGATATAAATATATTGGTAAGATGCTCAATTTCACTTTCTTATAATAAAGAATAAATGATGCTTTTTGTTAAATAACTCTCATTCATCATCAGAGGAGATGCAGTGACAGATAGGCCCTCTAAAGTGTTCCATTTGCTTCCTCTCTAGTTTGCCCAGAATGCAAACATGCCTTTGGTACCTCCTCTAGGATAGCACAAATATGATGTGATCCGCTCACCTGTTGGTGGACATTTGAGCCATCTTCACTTTTGGACTACTACCAGCAAAGCTGCCATAAACATTCATGCACAGGACTGTGCATTGATGTATATTTACCTTTCTTTATACTGCAGTGTTTTCCAAAGAGATTATACCATTTTATATTCTTCACCAGTAGAGATATGGGAGCTTCGTGTGTTCCACAACTGCAGTTACATTACCTTTATAATTTTGGCTAATCCAATAGATACAGTATCCTAGCTTGGTGAATAATGATATTTGGCATCTTTCAATGTATTTGCCATTAATGTGTATTCATCATAGAAGCACCTGTTCTTTCAGCCATTGTGATATTGTTAAGAATATTTAAGTTATTAGAATCCTTAGATATTCTTGGTAGAAATCTGTGAACATATATACCTGGAAAATACAGTTTTATCAATTCAGTACGACAAAATGAAACTTCTAATTTTCATTAAATCTCTAATTTACTAAGATATTCCCCTATAACTTTTGCTTGTTTCTCTCATATCCAACAAATATTGGGTGTACTTAAAGCTGCAATGTTTTTTTAAAGAACTTTTATAGTTTATAAAAATTTGCATTTCAATGTATCATAAGTTTTGATTAAATTTTGTACATTGTTCAAGGCATAGATAAAATGGTTGCTTTTTACATATTTATATCTAAAAATTTCAATGGTGTTTGTTGAAAAGACATTTCTCTTATGAATTAACTTGTGCTTTCATCAAAACCAAGTACGTAAAGAAAATGTATAGTTTTCAACCAAGAACAAAAAGTGCACAGTAAAACCATGGTGACGTACCCCCCCACTCATCTACCAGATAAACTAAAATTAAAAAACATCTAATAGTATGAGCTTTAACAATGATGATCAGGATATAGAATATACATTTGTATTGCTCCTGATGATGTAACATAATACAGGCACTTTGGCAATATTTCGGCACTTTTATAAAATTAAACATATTTTAATGATAAAACTCAGTCATTCTACTCTTAGGACAATTTTCAAAATAAATTAAATCTTTAATTTTTTTGTTACAAAAATCTATACATGTGTCTACATAGCAACATTATTCATAATTATCAAAAGCTTCAAGCAACACAATATTTCTCTCCTGGTGAATGGATAGACACAGCTGACACATCCACACAATGGCACACCATAGAGCGATCAATAGGAAGGAAAAAACTAGCGATGAACAAAAGGTGGGTGAGTCACAAATGAAGTGAAATGAGCCAGACTCAGAAAGCTGTGTTTGTCTGCTTCTACTTCAATTACACTTTGGAATAAAGCAAAACTATAGGAACAAATATCGGGGCCTGTGAATGTCAGAGCTCGGTGTTGCTGGTAGAGGTCTATCAAGAGGCAGAATGAGAGGGTCTTGGAAGGATGTTATCAGTTATACAACCATGTTAGTCAAAACCCATAGAACTGCATACTGTATTAGCACATTTTATTATATGTAACTTTTTAAATAGCTAGAAAATGAAAAGAGTGTTGATTTATTTATTTAGTACCAGGGATTCAACTCAGGACCTTGCACTTGCCAGGCAGGTGCTTGTGATGCTGAGCTATCTCCCCTGCCCAGGAGATACTATTTTTACAATTTCCCAGCAGTACAATAAAAAGCTTTATCATCATTAGTCATTAGGAAAACCTAAATGGAGGTGCAGTGAAACATTACCACACAGTTACCAAAATAGCTAGATTTGGCTGGAGAGCTAGCTCAGTAGCATAAGCACCTGACAAGCACAAGGTCCTAAGTTCAATCCCTGGTACTAAAATGGCTCAAATTGCAAGACTGTGTATACCAAGCATTGGCAGGTATGTATAACAGCTGGAACATCACGGGTGTTCTCCTAATGTTAAATAGAACAAACTGTGTGAGAGCTTATTTTCTTAAAAAGTCAAACATACAGTTAACCATATACCTACCATATAGTTCAACTGTTACACTTCTATATATGTAATAAAAAGAAAGTGTGTGTCCATTCAAAAATTATACATGACTATTTAGAGAATCCTTTTACAACTGAAATGCACTTCTGAAGATGAGAAGATAAACATGATATGTCCATGTAGAATATTGAGGAATACAGAAGCCATACCCTTGGTAATACTGATACATATAACAACTGTGATGAATTATGAAATAACTTTGGGTAGTGAAAGAAGCCAGATAAAAAAGAGTACATACTATAAAGGTCAATTTCAGAAAACTCTAGGACATGTTGACTGATTTGTGGCACACAGAGGAGATGTGGTATTGGAGTAAGGCGTGGAACTGGATGATAATAGGTTAAAAATTTAGGATTATGAAAACATTTATCGTTTCAATTGTGATGGTTTATTTCTGAACATAACCATGTCAAAATTCACTGTATTGTACACTATGTATAATTCATTTTTATCATTTATTTATAAATTAAGCTATAGAATGACATTTGGAAACATAAAGAACCAAGATACTGAAACATTAATTTGACAATTTTTTGCAAGATGCTCCTATAAGTTTAAAAGCTTGTGTTTTGGAAATTACTTAAAGACAGCCATAGAGTCATTTTCCAGACAGCACAGGGGTTGAGTTTTTAAGAGCTTGTAAAACCCTCATTTCAGTCACTAGCACCATAATAAGCAGAGAGAGAGAG